ACAACATTTAATCTGTGGAGCCTTCTTTGAAATAATTTCAGCATGGAATAAACCTTTACTTGTTCCTTTGCATGCTGACGCAGCTACAGTACCTACTGTACTTGAAGATTAGAATATATACATTTTTCGTAATTCTGGTCTTTTTTTACACAAAGGATTGTGAGGGTCAGGAACAAGTCACCCAAACATGAAACACTAGCTTCTTTCAAGACTTTACTGAAGGAGATCTTTGGATGAATCAGCCGAAGTCACTAGATGGCCCCCTACTCATGTCCAGTATATAAAATATTTCCATCATAGCAAATCCTGTCCCTACAATTAATATTCAGTTACATGTAGTTAGACCCACGTGGTTAAGAGGTGCAAATAAAGATGCAAAAAGTGTAGTCTGATTTTCATGTCACATCGACCTTTACATCACAATATATGCTTTTAAAAAATTATATTTAAATATATAAAAATATTAATCTTAACACTGCACTGGGGAGCAGCATCTGAAATAAATTTCAAATTTCAATAAGGTTCCTCTCCTCCTTATGGCCTCAACTGTTATAGAATCTTATATTCTTCAAGAAGAAGCAAAAACACTTTTCTTACAATCATGGGTCATTATTGAAGCTGCTTACCAAATAAAAACGAATAACTTCATCTCAGAATTTCTTAGTCATCACTGGGTAACGTGGCTCTACACAGCATGTACTAAAAGCATGATAGTAACATAGGAATTTACTATCCTTTCAGACAGACAGCAAATGCTGTAGAGTTGTATAATAAAGACCTATGCATAATTCATGAAAAAAAAAAACTAGAATGGCAAACCTGCCCCAGGATTTACCTTCAGAGCCAATTCAATACTCTGTCTGGTTCCTATAACAGCTGAGTCCATTTTCAGTTTGTGATATACAGTAGTAGAAATATACACCCAGAAAAATAGCCCAGTGCTGGTCCATTACAAAATAAATTAAACTAATTGGCAGGCCCCTTCTCTTGTTCATTCAAAAAACAAACAACATATTTTCACATCAGGCGTGTAGTTCTTGGCTTTAATGTGAATTTGCAATACCTAGGGACCTACAATGAATCTGTTACATAATCAGGTCTCTTTTCATGAAGCTTGTACAGAAGTCCCTTCTGTATATTTTCCAGATAACTCAATTAATTTCAGGAAACAATAACGAAAGAATATACATATACTTGTACAGAATACTTGTAATCATCTTTTACATGTTCTCAGAATGTTTGCTTTCATCACACATCTTACGCCATGAAAGCTTTGTTAAACCAGGAGAGAGTGGGAAAACAATCTAGCTCTTTTTAGACCCACACGCCAGGGAATGTAATTCATGAGCAAATTCATAACTGCCTTTTTGCAGAAATAATGAACTCAAATGGACAAATTACCCATTCTGCTTTATGAAAAACCATCCTCAACTATTGGTCTTGCATAGCTATAACACAAATACAGCACCACAACACTGAGATATCCAGAGTGTGCAAACAACTAATGGGTTTTATAATTTTAAACTATGTCAATATACTTCTATCACACTGACGTCAGGGAAACAACTGAGACATTACTAACGTGGCAAATGTAAAAAAAAAAACACCTATCTGAACAAAGCAAAAGGGAAAATTCAGTCAAATACAGGGAAGAATAATCTGACCTCTCAGTAGTCTGCATCTCTTTCATAAAGTGTGGTTAGGAAGTGTCTGGCCCATGTTTACTGTTCCATGCTACTGCCTTTTACATCAGAGTAATGTGAGAAAATTTCCAATCTTAGCAATTCAAAAATGTTCTTCATATATAACATGCATCAATTTGGATTTTATGCCATCCAGTACCCTGAAAGATTTCCCAGGGAGATTTCTGGAGATCCAGTAATACTTTTGTTAATGTCATCCACCGGTAGTGCAAAAATATGTGTTAAAGTACATATACTGCATTTATATACGTACATACGAGATAGGCACTTCCACACGCCAGGTCTATCCTGCAACTTATGCACTGAACTGATCTGGCATTGGAAAGCAGGTCTTTGCTTGGCACAAACTCAGATGTCAAGTCATCCATCCACTCAACATTTAATGCCACACAGCAATGGTTCTGAAAATAGGACGATAATGAACCGCTAATTACATCTGGTCTTCAAAACTGTTGGTACCAGGATAGCCTTGATAGACAGGTCACTCGCTGCAACTAATGCTTCCACCAACCTAACAGTGTGCATCTTGTTTTGCGAATGCTAGACATTTGATTTTAGTGGCTAAGCATAACGTATCAAAGCTTAAAAGGCACAGTAAGCCTAGCCTTGAATGTCCTTGGAGCTTTTTACTCACAGGAAGAAAAAGTGGGAGGGTGATATGCATTTCATCTCTTTAATTTTGTAGGATATAAATGCAAAAATAGCATCCAATGTAGTATCACATGAATACAAATCTACATTCACATAAAACTCAAATCTTACAAATTACGATGTCTAAATATTAACAACTTACAAGGGAATGCATACATGACAAGCAAATTAAAAAACAAAACAAAGGAAAAACTAGCCTCACCTAAAACCACCTACCTCGCTTTTAGAAAAGCACTCAACTACCATAGAAATATTTATGACAAGGAAATTTGTCAGTCATGAAAACTGAGACGATTTTTTTTTTTAAAAGGCAATGTGCCCAAGACACACCAAGAATTCCCCCCACTTTAAATTCAATAAATACTTTTCAATGATTAAAACAATAAAAACATTTAACAGACATCTAAAACAAGAGAAGAAACCCATCAGATGTTTAACAGTCAGAGCAATCCTAGCAACATACACAACGTGTAGAAACTGCAAGTGTGAAAACTGCAGTGAGGGAGATGGAAAAACAGTTTGTCTTGAGGAATCGCAGGAAGTGTCTGTAAAAATAATACGCAACCCAACCTACAAGCAAAGAATAACAATCAGTTAATCAACTTTGAAAGCATGAGGCTTTCTGTTCTGTGTAGCATTCACTACTTAAAGAAAACTTTTTAAACCTGAAATTAATTAGCTCACTTTACCCTGTTCCCATGTCCCAGTGCCTTTTATTTTTACTAAATCTTCTGCATATTCTTTATCAGATCTAAATGATTCTGTAAACTAGCTATTGCCATATGGCATTCAAATTATAGATTATAACTCATTCCATCTGGTGAACATTCCTGAGCTCAATATAATCCCACCGGATCAATGTCAACTCACTCCATATAGATTCCGAAACCTCAGTGGAGAAATAAAAGTGAAAATAAACCCCCTGACAGTCTTTTATGTAGCTGTACTGAATGCTCTGATTTTTTTTTTAAAAAGGAAATGAAACCAGAAAATTTCACTTTAATATTATTCGTGTTCCAGTTCAACACTTGATAAAATGGAACTGGGTAAAAAGCAATAAATGCACATGCTACTGTTTTTGGAGAAAAAAAACACTTCTACTATAACAGGGCAAACAGTCTTTGACTTCAATGTTGAGGTGATAAAGGCAGAAATAGATGGTTTTGAGCAGAACATTTAAATCCCATTCATTGCTTAAGTAACAATAAATGTATTAACCAGGAACGGTAATGCCAGAAATATTTAATTGCGATTTTAAACAAATTTGAATTAAATAATGAGAAATATATACTTGAATAATAAAAACAAATCTGAATTTAACAATAAACAATATTTAGACAGAGGTAACAGAATGTTACATAATTAGCTTTCACATGCAGACACCGGTAGATAAGACTCTAAAGAATATGAAAACAAATGCTGTAACGTCTGCCTCCTATTACACTTCCTGAACATGGCTTTATAAAGCAGGGAAAACCGCTTAAGCCACAAGTAAGTCTCCTAGGAGCGGTGCCCAGCTTGGCACTGAAGGAAGAAAATATCTTCCAGTGGGAATTTGTTCATTTAATGAGAAAAATTCAGAGGTCAAATCTTAATCTTGATTCCAAAGTGTGCTGACAGTGACCTTAGCAAAAAAAAGAACTGAGGATCTAAAAGATATTTTTGTGTAATTGCATCCACATTACCAAGAAAACATGCCCTTACTTTTTTAACAGCACGTTTTCCAGAAAGGCACAACGAGAAGAAAAGTTCACTCCATATATATATATAATTTAAATGTGTACTTTTCTGCAAAACTGGAAATCCACTACAAGATCCATCGGTCATTTTACTGTAGCAGACTGGACAGATTTTATTACAAATTTTACAAAGCAAAAGTGATTTATTTCTACATTTTTTATACCGAGAACAACTGGCATTGAGTCTTGTGGTATGGAAAAGCTTTCCTTGTTTTCAGAAGGAATGACCTTTTCTTCTCAATATGTTATTGTAAAACTACTAGATTTTATACACACTTTAGGCACAGCTGCTCAGGCCTTCAGCATTAAAAAGCTGCCGCTTTCTAACTCAGCTGTTGACTAATGAATTTTGCTTTTCCCACATTTTCAGCACCCAGGCCAGAGTCTCATAGCAAAACAGTTTCTGACATTTCGCAAAGAATTTATGCCGGGGATATATAATTCAATTGCAAAGGACAGCACAAATGCCATCTGACTGTTTATGCAGGCAGTTGAATTGTCTTTCTGGAAAGGTAACCACTGCCTTGGTGTTGTACATTCATAGCATATGTGCAAAGAGAAGCATTTTTATGCATAACATCCAAAACAAACAAGCAAGGAGCCCATGCTGCCGACAATCTGCTAAGCCATTTTTCTTTTATTTTCTTGATCTTAAAAAGCAGAGCAAAGCGGGATAAACAGAGATCCTGGGACAGACTGTCAGACTGAAGGCTGATGTAGGGGGGATGTGCACAAAGAATTTTGCATCATTCAACAGCATCATTGCCTCTTTGTGCAAAATGGTAGAGCCCAGAGCCTGCAGAACAATCTGTCAGGAGGAAGCATGAAACAAAACAAAAAAAAATCACAAAGAAACACCATCGCTGAACACACACAGAAACGTACGGAGCAGAGATGCGGTACTTACATGACGATTCAGTGCCGAACATGGCTGGCCCAGATGCTGTTATGAAAAAAAAAAGGGGGGAGATGAGGCAGCTACACAGCAGGGGTCATGAAAGCAGACAATGCAGCCCAAGCACTGTGGCTGCCAGATGCTCTATTCCTAGGCTTCAAACAGCTTTCCCTTGGACCCAATCATAAAAACACAAGTACTCCTCAGGAAGAAAAACACCTCCAAGCCTCTGTTTTAGATCCAAGGTCCTGGTAACTGGATGGAAGTCCTCCTCCTTCTGTGATGCAGTGTAGCTGCACTAGGTAGCAGAAACCAGATACTGCAACCCACAAGCCGGGCTCCCAAGTAAGACAATAGCACAAGCTATGCAAACACTGAATGACGTCAAGACACTGCAAAGACTGACTGCTGTTAACCACAGGCTTGGAGGGCTGAATGGGAGCAGGCGAATCAAAGGGGGATTCTATTGTAGCAAAAAGCAAGCTGCACACATCCCCCACCGGAGCCAATTCAGGGAATACTAGCACCTCACGCCTGGTAGAAGGGCAAATTGAAATAGCTCACTAGCATGTGGGGAATATCACAGCATCAACTGATGCAACAAAGCTGACTGTTACTTTTCTTTCAGACGCACGACAATTTATGTTCGGGGCAGAGCTCCCTTACGGAGCAATTTGAAATGTGTTACTGAAAATTACATAATGCGCTCCGATGTTCCACCTCATTTGTTAAGAATGTTAAGAACCTTGTGACAATGTTGCCTGCATCTCTGTTTCATGCACAAAGGCTTAACATGAGCACATGAATAAATAGAATGGACTGCGATATTTTAGGCAATGCTGTCATGTCTCTGTAGATTTCAGCTATGTCCTTTTGTCTCACACAGGGTCATGTGTATTGATGCACTGTTTGCTGTCACTGTGTATTGGCTGAGGCTGACAGTCCACAAGACTAAACCCCCCAGACCATTAGAGTGAGTCCCATACAAATTAATTTAAACCTTCTGCAAAGATAACACTATCATATACAAGACACACTGATTAAATCATCCCTAATATGCTAATAATAAGCTATATTCTTCTAAATATGAAGACAAGAAAATAAGAAAGGTTACAAATGAGTTTAGGGCACTGAACCCATCTCAAATCCATTTGTAGTTTTTTACATCCTGTGTTTTATCTGTAAAATAATTCTGGCTAGTATTTAAATGCACTTTGTGACCAAAAGAGGTCCTTAGAACCTTTGATAACATGCAAAATACAGCAATAAATATGCATTACACAAAAAATAATGTTTCTATTGTTCTTCTGAAATTAGAATACATGCAACAATGCAAAAAAAAATTAGACACACAAAAGTAGTTGGAAAGTCACGCAGAATTACTTCAAAGAGGACAATCACAGCAAAATAAGCATCTCATCAGTGTTGCTAAGCAACAGTAAAAACATAAAATGAGTGCTCCCAATCTTCAAAGGAAAAATACATTTCTGTGGAAGTGACAATAGATTGTTGAAGCAAATGGATTGTTTCTGTCCTAAACAGAAGAGATTAACAAAAATTTAGTGCTGGGCAAATGGCAGATTGGATGTCAAGAAATTGATTTGATTAATGTAAAGGTTAAAAATGATAGGTAGTAATCATTTTCGGAAATGATATTAGCTCAGCCTATATGGATTCTTATTTTAATTTCAGTGCAACCGAAGTTCTGTACTTACCAGACATTTTCTTACTGGTCTTTATGTCAAATTTAAAGAAGACAATTTTTTAAAAGTATAATTTTCAGACACTGCCTTTTTTCCTGAACCATAGGGACTTGAAGGAAGATTTAAACTAGGCTCTTCTTACTGTACTGCTGATGGAAATATGACTTGATTTAACCTAAGGCTTAATTCAAGGCAAGGAGAGAAACAAACTACTTCTGTTTTTTAAGGATGGTCTATTTAGTCTTTGAAATGCAATGGAATCGTACAGGTTCTTTTTAAACATCTCGAAAACGAGATGTTAAGTGTAAAATACAAAAAAGAAAACACTACCTTGAACTCCAGTATGTCAGCTTTTCACATAACAGCATTGTATTCTGTCATTTGCTGGAGGAACATAAGTCCCTCCCACATCTGGAAGCACAGAGTTCAAATTTTGTGATGAAACTGGACTTTCCCTATGTTCAGTTCATTGTCACGGAAACAGGAAGAAGACACAGAATTTCCCCAGGCCTGACTGCTGATTTTTCTGGGATTTTTCTGGTTAGAATCCGAGACGAAGATCTGATTATGACCACAGCAATTTGTTTTTATAAAAAGGTGACCTACATGAAACCATCCAATATCAGAAAGCCACTCCTAGTAAGGTTACTGGTAACCTGGAACACATCCTGGAAGTAGAGGACACAAAGCAGGATGCCACCACAGACGTGGTCGTTCACCACAGACATAATCTCAAATAGACAGGTGCAATGCAGAGAGATCCAACTAGCATGTCTTTGGGAGGTGGAAGAAAACTGAAGAATTGATCAAATCCATGCAAATACAAATAATAATAATAATTAATATAGAGCTTTTCTGGACACTCCACTCAAAGTGCTTTACAGGTAATGGAGACTCTCCTCCACCACCACTAATGTGCAGCCCCACCTGATGATGATGCAACGGCGGCCATAGTGCACCAGAACGCTCACCACACATCAGCTATCAGTGGGGAGGAGAGCAGAGTGATGAAGATAGATGGGGATTATTAGGAGGCCATGATTGATAAGGGCCAATGGGAAAATTGGCCAGGACTCCGGGGTAACACCCCTTATCTTTTCAAGAAACGCCCTTGGATTTTTCATGACCACAGAGAGTCAGGACTTCCGTTTTACGTCTCAACCGAAGGACGGCGCCTTTTTACAGTATAGGCCCCATCACTATAGTGGAGCATTTGGACCCACACAGACCACAGGGTAAGCGCCCCCTGCTGGCCCCACTAACACCTCTTCCAGCAGCAACCTTAGTTTTTCCCAGGAGGTCTCCCATCCAGCTACTGACCAGGCTCACACCTGCTGAGCTTCAGTGGGTACCCAGTTGTGAGTTGCAACATGATATGGCTGCTGGCTACATATATACACACACAAGAACCTAAAAACTCCACATAGAAGGTGCCTTGACCCTTTAGCAAATTGAACATTATTTTTTGTTTGTTTAAAAAATTAATAGTACCCATAGGGTTGAGGGAGAAGGGACTTATTTCATGGGTGAATGAAACTCAGCCATGCAGTTGAAGCCAATACAGCCTCATTCAAGAATCTGCAGGATGAGATCAATGTCCATCCATCTTAAATCTTGAAAAAGGAAAGACTAAACCAGTGGAAGTGACATATTTAATTAATCTGGTAAGTAATAACAAATGTGAAAGTCTTTGAAAAGATGTGAATTCAATGTGAATGTGAATTATTACATTCAAAACAATTCCTGAACTGAAAAAAATAAACATAGTGCTGGTTCTACTCAATGCAGGAATAGGAGACCTCTAATGAAAAACTTGGTTACTGTCTTGGTGGCACTCTTCATACAGAGCAACATTTCCAAAAAATGCCCCCAATATGGTGACAGAAAATGATGTAGGGGATGCCGTCCTCTCGATATGATTTTAAACTGTGGTCCAAACAACAACTGGTCATGAATAGACCCCCCAGTTCATAAGATAGAAGTGTTAACCATGGTGTCCAGTCCTTGCTAAATTCCGGTCTGACCTACTGTACCTTAAGTTCCCCATTAACTCAATTGGAGAAGTATCATCTCACCACTTCAGCTGATTTGCTGTGGAGTGGGGCTGGTGGGTTATATTATTTCAGAGGTAGATGGTAGGGCTCCTCCTATGTGTAAAACACTTTAGGATATAAATGCTATACAATTTAAGGAATTAGTTAGGCATCACAATACAATACAAGATGCTTAAGATTGGACTTTTCACCTATTATAGGCAGTACTAGTTGTCTATTTGGCAGGGCTCTGAGGGGAGATGTTTAGAGATGGGGTAGTTCAAGTGGGCATATCAACACTGGCCTTAACCATATTTTGTAGACTACTATAGGCAGAAATGTGGCACAGATAATATCAAAGCCATTCACTGCACCAGAAGCCATTTGTATCTATGGCCTGTTGTTTGTAAAAATGGTAAAGGAGATTAAAGCCTAGTACTGGTAGGGTGAGGGTATTAAACAAAAGAAGTAAGGAAGCTGGTAATTAAGATAACCATTTTGTTTAAATGGTGGCCTCTAGTAGAGTATGATTCATTTTCTAGAATTAATGGTTTAGAGTACTCTGTCTATTGAATACTTGGATTTATTTATTTATTTGTCTGAAAAAAGGGTTCAGTTTTGACTGGTGTTACAAAAAAGAACTCCTCAAAGCTGACATTTGACAAAAAAGAGTGTTGTCAATTCCATTAGCTGTCCATTAGATTATTGTTGATCTCTCTTTAAATGTTCGAAACTACCTGAAAAGCAATAATTCAGAATGTCACAGGGTGCTTCTTTCAGCTTCTGTTCTTCTTCTTAACCAATTATCAAAAGCCTTTGTAGGCACAACTTCTGTAACCACCAGGCTATATAAAAAAAAACACTGAATCAGTTGTACCAGAAGAACCAAGCTCAATGTTCAACGATATGTGAACCTTTTCAACCATTTTCTTCCTATTTAATGATTATAGGATATAATGCGTGTGCACTAAGGAAGGCCAAATAAACTCCAATCAAGACTGGATGGAGATATGATGCAAATCATAATCAATTAAGATTGTACTTCAATACTTCTCTATGAAATTATCAAACAAAATTATCTTTGATGACTTAAAGTTTGCTAAAAGCACGTAATTATAAGTGCAATGCTGACCAAATATATTCATACTGTATATTATGTTCAGATATATACCATTTGTAATGCTAAGGAGTAACATAAGAGCATTACAGTGATTCTTTTGTGGGTTTCAACATATCATGAGAGAGTACCCTGAAATGCAATGCATTCTTAAAATAAAGCACCAAGATTCCTCAATGCATAATATCAGGTTAT